CCCCCCCGCCGCGCGGCCCCGCCCTGCCGCGAGCTCCCCGAGCTCCCCAGGAGCCAGGCTGGGGCTGGTGGGCAGCTGCAGATGTTCTCCAGATGTTGGGGGGTGCTGGGGCCCTGGGAACAGCTCCTCCTGGGGCCAGTACCTCGGGTCCCCTCCTTGCCACCGGCTCCCAGGGAGGGTGGCTCCGGAGCTCCGTGCCCCAGGTGAGGGTCCTGGTTTGTCCCCTCTCTTCCAGTCCAAGAAGCCGACCAGCTGCTTCCCGCGTCCCCAGACCCCCCGGGACCGCAGCGAGCGGCGCAGCTCCCAGGTCAGCCGGAGGAGTGAGCAGCAGGCCCCCGGCAAGCAGGTGAGCGGCCGGGCCTGGAGCAGCGAGCTCCGGGGAGAAAAAGCGGGGCCGGGACCCCCCTGTCCTGCCCCACGCTCACGGTGCCACGCCCTCCTCCGCAGCCCGAGAGGCGCCAGTCGATGGCGTTCAGCATCCTCAACACGCCGAAGAAGCTGGGGAACAGCCTGCTGCGCCGGGCGGCCGGCCGGAAAACCACCCCCAAGAACTCCCCTCGCGGCAGCACCCGCCGCTCGCCCCGCATCGCCACCGCCAAGTCCCCCAAGGGCAAGGTAGGCACCGCGCGCCCCCCGTGGCACCCGTGGCAGGGGGCCGAGGCGCCCGATGGCGTGGGGGGAGCACAGGGGGAAGCCTCGTGCTCTCCCCAGTGCCCCGAACCCCTGCCCTGGGCTCATGGGGGCAACCACTCCCTGCTGGCAGGGGGTGGCGCGGCCCTGTCCCTGCTGTGCCACGGAGGCAGTGGGTCCCAGCGTGGGCACAGCCGCCTCCAGGGCCGTGGCCGCGGGTTGCCGACACTCACTAACGTCTCCTCTCTGCTCTGCCCCTTCCAGGCCAGTCGGCGAGCGCTCAAGGACACCAAATTCTGAGGTTTCCCCCGTGCCCTGCGCTGCCGGCTCTGCCCCGGCCCCAGCCTGCGCCCCCTCGCCTCTCCCTGCCCCCCCAGTGCTGTGGGCACCTCTCCAGGGCCCAGCAGCGCCGGGGGGGACACAGATGAGGCCCCCTTCCCCCTGTGACACTGCCCTGCACGTCCCCCCGCCGCCCCGGGCTGCCTGGGGCTCCCCCGAGCACGGCAGGGCCCCAGTGCCCTTCCTGCTGCACCCAGCATCGCCCCCCTCCGCACCCCCCGGGGCCGGGGGGGGGGAGCACGGGGAGGGGGCCGTTCCCACGGGGAACACCCGTGGGTGCAGGCAGGAGGGGCGCAGGGCTGGCCGCAGTGTCGGTTATGCCAGGCTGGGGCCAGGGGCTGAGCCCTCCCCGGGGGGACCCCGCAGCCCTGGGGCGGGGAAGGGGGAGGCAGCTCCCCGGGGCCCGGGACGGGGCC